GTACAAAGGGTGGTACAGGGTTACAGGATAAATCCTGAGAGTACTTGGCTGACCTTATCAGATACAAAAGTTACATTTCTTGTTATATAGGTCTTGCTATATCTTGGTCTTAACCATCCAGCAGAAAAGTATAAAAACAAGGTATATAAAGTAAAGCCATATTAATATGATGAGCTGTAAAAGGCTCGAGTCAGTAACTTCTGAGGACAACCCACTAATATTATAGACTGCTAGACAGTGTTAGATTGTTTAGTTGAATTCAAACACCTATAGTATTTAGATGCCAATAGAATATTCACCTCTGACAGGACAAAAAAAAAAAAAGTATACTAAGGAAAGATCATTTTGTATTTATATATACAAAATAGGATAATTTGCAGCTACTTTCGCTTAATTCAAAGAGAAGAAAGACATGTACTAACAGTGTTTGGACAGAATATCCTATCTGCTTCTTGTACTATGGATAAATACTAAGAAGATAACAATGTACAATGTATTGATTATCAAAACTGTCCTATTAATCAGCTGTGAAACTGTCTCATTCATATTTATTTCTCAATAAAAAATAAATTTAAAAAAACAAATTTCCTCTTCTGTCAAACTGTTACAGAAACTGCTTTAATTTTCTGAGATTTTTGTTCTGAGATGGCCAAAAGTTTCAAACTAACATTACTTAGCAATAACCAAAGAAGGCACTCTTTTTATTTATTCTGATACAAAGTCTCGTAATATATAGCTCAGACTGGCCTTGAACTCACTATGCAGTCCAGGCTGGGCTCAAAACTCCTGGCAACTTCCTGCCTCAGCCTCTTAAGTGCTGAGATTACAGGTTTGCATCACCATGCCCAGATAAAGAAGGCACTCCTAACCATGATTTTCAACTGAAATGCCTCTAAATGTTATGGTTCAGATCTAAAATATCCCCAAAGTCTCATGTATTCAGAGATGGGACTTTTGGAAGGGAACTTACTTATGAGCATTGTACTCCACCGTGGACTGATTCACTGATGAGTTCTCAGCAACCTGGAAGGGTGCATTTTGATTCTTGTCCCCGTCTCCTGTCTGTCTTGCTTCTTGGCTGCCATGGATTAAGCAGTTTTCGCCCGCTATGCCCTACCACCATGCTCCTTCTGCCTGGGAGCTAACTATCTGTGGGCAGTCTTCTGAAACTGTAAGTCAAAATAAGTGCTCTCCCTTAAGTTGCAGGTGTCTTTGTACCAGCAACAAGAATGTTGCTGAAACATACAAATAAAGCAATGGCTGTGGAAACATCCTATTTCTAGTTTTTACTAGTTCTTAATCTTTTTTTTTTTTTAATCATTTATTGATTTATTTGGTACTGGGTATTACTATGCAGCTCAGAGTCACAGTGCTCCTATCTCAGCCTTCTCAATGCTGGGATTACGGGTGCATGCTATCATGCCCAGTTTCAGTGGCTGGTACCATGCACCAGGTTTTTACAATTGCCAGGCAAGCACTTAGACCACCTAGCTATCTCCACAGCCCCTGAGTTCTTTTTTTTTTTTTTTTTTAATATATTTGGTTGGTACAGGGTCTCACTATGCAGCTTGGACTCCCAGTGACCCTCCTGTTTTCAGCCTCCCCAGGACTACTGGGGGTGGGGCTGGCATGGAATGTGATGCCAGAGATTGAATCCAGTTCCAGTGCTTTCCTAAGCAGGTGCTTAGTCCGCTGAACTATCTCACCAGCCCTCTGAGTTCTTAATCTTATACAGATTGAGCATCCTTAATTCAAATATCTGAAATCTGAAACATTTCTGATACATAACTCAAAAATTTTCAACTTTGGAGTGTTGTGGGTTTCAGAGTTTTGGACTGGAGATGCCCTGCCAGTAAAGCCAATGCAAATATTTCAAAATCCAAAAAATCTGAAACATTTTAGTCTCAAGTATTTTAAATAAAGGTTCAACAATTTATATATATCAAGAATGGCTATTTTTATATTCACTAATTTCATATGCATGTACTAATGATGTATTAATTTCAATGTGGGGTTTTATGTGGTTTTATATGATAAAGAGGAATTTATTCCAAAACTGTTGTTTTACAATGTTATCCAAAACTCCATGAACAAAAGTAATTTGCCAACCATAAAGAATTTCATAAATCACAATTTGAAAGTCAGCTAAAGCTCTAATTATCAGAAAGAAAGAATAATAAATCAAGGAAAATTTTGAGATCATTACTTTCTGAGGGTCAAGCTTGCCCAGGACTACTTCCATGAAATCTTCATCAGAAATTATGATGGTTAGGTCAGCAGAGCCTTTGGCAGGACCTTGATACAGTTTTCCAGAACCATTTTTCAGATCAATAGCTGGGAAAAATAGAAAACAATGTGCATCATATCTTCCCCTTAAAATATGAGAACATAATAAACTTAGCAATCAGTCCCTGGTACCACAAAATAAAATAAAATAAAATCAGCAAAATGCAGATTTTTAGTTTACAAATTAATGTCATATTCTATATATTTTATCTATAGATAATATCTGAAAAAATTATTTGAAAGTCTCAATAATGGCTTTCCAGAAGTTTTTTACAGGACTAAGATATAATAAGTATGAATTAATATAGAGTTAGATATCATAATGTAGCAAAATGAAATTCAAACAGACTACAGTTCACAAAGGAGAAAAGTTCAATTTTAAAACAGTTGTATCTTGATGTATTCAGAGATACACTCTACTCACCTTTCAAGTACCTAAATTTATCAGAGGTTCTACCATATGAATAGCAAGATAATAAAAATACATTTTTTTCTAGTTTGTTAAATGTTATGATATAAAATAATACTATACATTTTTAAATACTTTGTCTTCTGTTAATGAACTTTTACACAATAAGATTTATTGTTCAAAAGAAATGAGAATGGGGAAGGAAAGGAAAAGAAAAAATTATAAATCAAGGATAAAATGGAAACAAAGCTTTGTAAATAAGGAGGGGAAGAGAGGTTGAAGAGAAGAGAGAGGACTGGGAAGAAAGAGGAATCAATTTATGTCATATACAGGTAAAAATTCCATATAATGAATGTAATCATGATGTATATCTAAATGGTTCAATAAACTTAATAAAATAAAGATTAAGTGTCCCAGAAACAGGCTGAATAACTGAACTATTGAAAAATGTAACTTTATTGCTATCTATACAACATTTATAGGACTTTAAAATTATATTTTCTAAAGTCTGAAGAGTCTCATATATGACTGAGACCATGCATACAGGAAAACCAATTCCTTCCTCTTACTTCAGGGAAGGAGCTGCAATCCAGTCACTTCCTAAATTGTGTAAGAACTCCCAACTGAGGGTCAAGAAAAGGTGCACATGGACAGGGAAACCCAGTATACTTGGCATTCTGCTTAGCAAGCCCTGCTCCAAAGATGAACCTAAATTATTATAACTCTCCATAAAAGAGAATTTTGCCAACTAAAAAAAGAAGAAGAAATATTTACTTTGGCAAAAGGAAAGGGCTAGAAGAGAAGGGACCATTTTTCTTCATATTCTTTATTCACTTACCTCATTAAATTTCTAGTATGGGTGTCAAAAAGTATATGAGATACTAGAACTATAATATGAAGAGCAAAGTCCCTGTTTTTACTGGAAATTATATAAAAAGACCTTCATAATATGTATTATTTGTATAGAATTTTAAAAAGTTGAGTGAAAGGGAAGAGGAAAGGGATAAGATATAAAAATTTTTTTACAGTACTAGGGATTGAAAACAGGGCCTTCACACTGAACTTTGTACCTAAGCCCTTCTTTATTCTTTGTTATTTTGAGGCAGGGTCATCTTAGGTTTCCCAGGCTAGGTCTGAACTTTACTTTCCTTCCTTCTACCTGAACCTCTCAGAGTGCTAGAGTTACAAGCAAGCAGCACTACACCCAAATGGAAAGGAAAATGTCCCCTAACATCAAGCTTCTGCATTTAACAGATTTCAAATTAATTTTGCATAAACTGAAGCCCTATTTGTATTTTTTATATATACACACTTCTATGTGAATATATGTACCTATGTACCTTTGTGTATATGCTACAGAAATAAAACTGTGCCACACATAGCTCAGCAGTCTCCTTTTCCTCTCACTGACTAGGTATCTTTACAAACTATTTACAACCATGATCTTTCAAGTCATAAAATTTTTCTTTGTGGAAAGCATTGACAAAACCAATGCTGACAAAAGAAGACTAAGGAAACAATGGTCCTCAACAAGAATACAAAAAAATGAAAGTACAGCAATGACCCTTTGTTTACACTTTTAATCCTTAAAAAGTCAGGTACTTTGAAATTTGAGGGAAGAAACTATATCAGAAGTGTGATAAAAAAAAAGTGACTGTTTCAGTATTTAAAATTACAGGTAAAGATACATTACCATTAATTCCTCTCAAAGTACTCCCCCTTGCTTCAAACATACTTCTCCCATCGCTTTTCTGACTTTCTAATGCAGATCTGGCTATCCTCTATCACGAGTTATCTTTAGTTTGGAACTATCATGACTGCCTCCATGTCCTGAAATCAATTCAAAACATTTACTTTCATGGTCATTTTTACTTCAGGGTCAAATAGTACCAGATCTAGTGAGTAAGGTAAATGAGGACACACTGGAATGGTTTTAGTGATCTGCCTTTAATTGGATGGAATGTGACAGCAGTATTTACGATCATTTTTTTTTTTAAATCACACCTGATAAAGACACAAAGACTTCCAAAACAGCTTCAGAAAGTGACAACAATGATGGGATAAGTGTATCTGAAGCAATGGAGTCTTTTAAAGGAGATTGATAGCAATGCCTTTTACTATAATTTTTTTTCTATTTACCTACATATTATGCTTTTTGATCAGCCTTTGCATCACACATTTCTCTCCCTTTTCTCTTTTCTGAATTGACTTTTCACAAGCATATATGTCTTCTAGAACATATAGGTACTGAGGTTATACATCATTATTTTTCTTTATACAACTATATAACAAATTACATATAATGAATATATGCTACTTAAAAGGAATAGTAAATATTTTTTTAAAAGTTTATGCCAAACAAAACTTCAAAATGTTTTCTAAGAATAGATTATTTCAAAAGTTCTATTTGATCTACATATGTTTTATATATTTTTTGATCTAAGCACTTACAGTGATTTATACTGAACAAAGGCACTTATAGGACCCTCTTGATATAACAATATGATTTTCAAGGCAATTAAATAGGTACTCTTAAAGGCAATCTCAGAATAAAAATGAAACTCTCTTTAATATACTAGCTTCTGCTATACAACTAAAAACCCAAACATACCACTTTTCCTTTAAATTATTTGTGCAGACTCATTACCTACATAAAGACCAAAGGAAAAGATGCTTTAGTCCATAACTTATAGAGCTTTCAGAAGCATGACCTTGATCTCAGATCAATGCATTCTAGTAGGTTTAATACATTGGGCTTACTGTCCACAGAGAACTACAACCAAACTCGAATTGGGCCTACAAGTTAAATGTTCCTAAAACATAAACAATTCACAAGTTCTACAAGTCCCACATGTCTCCAGGAGCAAATAGCCAGACCCTATTACATGGTTTCCCACTGTCTCCCAATTAAAAAAAACAGGAAAAGTCTTTTAAGTCATAAGCTACCCTAGACACTTCTTTTCTCACATTATCAAGTAGATTCAGGGGACCACAGTGGCTGGACTAACAGTAAAAATCCTGTATCCTGTAGGCTTACAGGTATAAAAGTAAGAAAAATAAAAAAGTTTCAGTGAGCATTCCACTGGCATACTATAATTTTCCAACAATGCCAGAGATTAGAGTACTCTAAAACATACAGCTAAAGTACACAGCAAATGCAAATGAACTAATAAGAGTTTGGGTTTCTTTTATTCTCTTCATCTTCTAATTTGTCTTTCTTCATAAAATGGTAGCAGGGTCTTTCTGGACCTCTGCATTGGTGAAAGGAGACTGCTTTCTTCCCGCATCCTGTCAGTTAGACTAGGTGGCTGCCAGCTTGCAAACATAGTATTCTATTGGATAACTTCCCTCAACAGACAAATTGGTACCTCCAATTGCAATCTGTGTGTGTCAAGCAAACAATTATTTTACACTAATAGGATAATAATCTATTGTTTGGGGATAAAGAAAACAATGTTTAAATTGTCAAAGACAATAAAAATGTTTCATTTGATTGAAGAAAGGTGAAGATTAGTTTTTTAAAAAAATATGCAGCCAGCATGACTATTATACATACAGTAGTATCTCAGGTGTAAGGCCTCTGTTAGATACCAAAGTACAAGAATGCTCGAAACATTTATATGAGGTGGTACTGGACTTGTAGATATTCCTTTACACTGTTTCTTATTTTAGTACATTTGTAGTACATGATGATTACATTCATCACGGGGAGTTGGTACATGTAAGTAACACATCTCAGTAACTTTTACTTTCCCTTCCCCATCTCTAGATTTCTAATAACACCAAACATAAATAGTTGTTATAGAGAATAAGCGCATGAGAAAAGTACCTTTACAAGTTCAGTACAAATGTATCCTTTAGAATTCACTACATTTCCAATGTGTGAAATCTTAACTAATTTTAGATACTACAATGAAATATCTCAAAAGGATGCTTTAATTGTTTCATGCATGTCTTTAAAAAGACTTACTCCACTTAGCTGCAGTCTTTCTGTCTTTAGTAATATGCCACTCAAATACAGCATTTACTTTCTTTACCATTTCATGACCGATATCCTTAAGCCGATGATTTATTTCCTCAAATACAAGAGTACTTTGTAGCTTCTCACCCTGGCAAATAGACAAAACAGAATTTTAAAAATTCTATAAAAATGTCCTGAAGAGAGAAAGAATTATAAATGTGTAAAATAAAAATTTTCTTTAAAATCTGTGTAAAACTATTGCAGCTAAATTACTTTTCTTCACTGTGTTATGAGGATTCTACTTTCATCACAATTTAAAAGTTTTATATAATAAAACTTACATGTTATTTTTATATATACCCATCATACCTGCACCCTACGATTTCAGTTTGAACCCAATGCTTTCTCACTCAGATATATCCCAGTCTTTTAAAAAATTTTTCTTTTGAGACGGAGTCTTGCTAAATGGTCCAAACTAGGATCACACTCGTAATGCTCCTTGCCTCCATCTCCAGTTTGGGAATATTTTAAAAATAAACTAGGAACTGGATAATCTATTTCCTAGTTAACTCCAGGAAGATATTAAACAATGAAATTCTATGATCTCATTTTTGTTTATAATACTAAATTACATGAAGCCTCAATTTCTTTCTAGCAACAAAGAGATTTTTAATTTTCAGTCAGTTATATGATAAAATGTTTTATGACAAAATTAAGACCCACAGATAAGAAAACCTCAACATATTCACATTAATATTTTATAAAAAGAAGATAAACATTTTTATCAAACATCTCACTCAGGGACTGGGGAGACAGCTTGGTAGTCTAAATGCCTGTCTGGCTGGAGCAAGGAGCCAGGTTTGATCCCTGGTACCACAGGCTATGCTGGTGCACTGTTCCAGGTGCACTGTTCCAGCCATCAAAACCGCGTGTGGTGGTACATGCCTGTAAGCCTAGTACTAGGGACACTAAGACAGGAGGATCACTACAAGTCCCAACCGTGTAGTGAGACCTTCTACCAAATAAATAAACAAATATTAAAAAAAAAAACAATATTAAACATCTCGCTCAGCATGTTAAGAGGACACAAATGTTTTAAGATTATGTATTCTTGTTTTCACACATACAAAGAACATGTTTTAATACAAATATTTAAATCAAGAAAAGGCACAGGATATTTAAATTTTAATCTATTTTTATCCAAATACTGTAAGGTTTTTCATTAAACAACTGATTTAGACATTATAAATAAGAAAATTACTTTCTCTTGAAAAATGTTTTTCACATCAACAGTTAAGAATCTATTCATAGTCTTTCATTTTCAAAAATAGCCTGAACATTCTTAAAATGATCATTACAAATTTATAAGCAAGGAAATGACTTGGCTATCAGGTTTTATGACCTACCTCAGGGTGTGGCTTAGCTGAAATACCAGATGGTGGTACAAGATCTACATATGCATTTGAAATGACAATATCTCCAGTTTCTAGAACCTTACAAGAAAAAAACAGGAAATAGAAGAGTTCATTTGAAGATTTCATTGGAAACAACTTCTGTGAAATGCTAATCATTTAAAATAAATTTATATTTTTGTTTCATACAAAAAAGAAAATAGGGGCTGGGGAGATGGCTCAATAGAATAAGTGCTTCCCTGGCAAGTGCAAGGGCCTGAGTTCAATCCCCAGATCTGCCAAAAATAAAACCAAAAAAAAAAAAAAAAAAAAAAAAAAAAAAAAAAAAGACAACAAAAAAGCAAATAATCCAAATAAAATAAAAAGTTATAATGTAAATAAGGTAAATAAACATGAAGGCTTTTTCATTTAATTCAGTTATTATTAGGTCAGTTCATAAACCAAATAAAGCCCTTTTTTAAAAAAGTCTACTGAGGCTAGGGATATAGCACAGCAGTACAGTGCCTGCCTGACAAGTGCAAGGTCCTGAGTTCAATTTCTGGCACACTGATAAATAAATAAATAAATAAAAATGATGACCAGGTTCCATTCCGTAAAACGTTAAATGGCTTGCAATGGAGCCACCATATTGGTATTTTGGGAAATTTTTTTCCAAACATAAGTATTTTTAACATAGAACAAAGGTGAGAAGTGTTAAATTCTTATAAATAGTAAAACACATGACACAACATCCACTCAAGGCCCATTTTTCCCGTTGTCATAGAATAAAATTGGTTAGAAACATACTGTAATAGTGCTGTTACTGCAGTGATCTGAGTTCTTGTTTTAAATTAGAAGTAGACATGGCATAAAATTAATGTCTATCCTTCTATGAAAAGTCATTAAATGAATTCTAATTCCTACTCCTTTATTTCAAATTATTCCAATGACTATTCTTCCATAAAAATTACAGTACTGAACTGGGAGTACGGTTCAGCGGCACAGTGACTGCCTGACAAATGCAAGATCCCAAGTTTGATTCCTGCTACACCAACCCCAAAAAAATTACAGTATTGTTACAAAGGCAAAAGATAATTTCTAGAAGTCAAAGTAGCACTTAATTAAAGTTTTGATTTTTATCAGTGGAGTTTTCTGAACATGACAACCTATTTATTTTGATTGTATTATCCTTTTGTATGTACTATACAACGATATATAATAAAAATCTACATTTAAGTCTAACAGCTTTCAAGAAATACAAAACCAAAATTCCAGTAATGGAAGAGAAAAAATGATGATGATATAATAAAAAGAGCTAAAACCCTGGCATTTCAACTTGGGAGCCAGTATGACCTGAGTTTTTAATCTTAGCTTAATGACTTTCTGTGTGGCCACGGACAACTTACAACATCAAGATTTTGTTATAGGGCCGGGGAGCTGGCTCAGTGGTATAAGCGCTTCCCTGGCAAGCGCAAGGGCCTGAGTTCAGTCCCCGGTTCCGCAAAAAAATAAAAAATAAAAAAATTAAATTGAATTTAAAAAAAAAATAAAGTTTTTGTTATAAACACAGATTTTCTTGCATTTCAACGTAGTTATTATGTGTTAAACACAGTAATACAGTTTGCTTACAATGTCTCAATAAATAAAAACTGTTATTATTACTGTTAGAATTGTTAAACCTATTTCATATAACACAAAAAGATCAAGCCAAAAAGGATTAGCTGGTTAAATGTGCTATCAAAAATTATTTCTTAAATATAAATAAAACAATGATTGAATGTCTTTTTAGTGTAATACACCTTTATTTGGCTTGTCACTTACAATTAGGCCTAGATTCTGTAATGCAAGATGTGAGTTTGTGGATTACTTTGTGATCTAGTAGCCTGCGTCTATTAAAATAACTATGAAGAATGTAAATTTATTGTACTGTAGGACATTAACTAGTATTAGATCTAACTGAATCAAATAACTATCTAGTAAGATAACTATGAAGAATGTAATTTTATTGTTCTACAAGACATTAACTACAGATCTAGCTATATTCAGTCATATGTCCGATGTTTAATAACTCTCTGTTATCTGAGCAATAGATTTGATGATAAAAATAGATAAAATATCAACCATTGTTAATCAGCTCTTGTTTTGAAAATCTGTAACATATGTATTGTTGTATGTTATCCTGTTTCTGTCTTTGTTTCTCATCATTGTTCCTGTTTTTGCTTTTACTCTTCAAAATAAACTAAAATAATTAAAAAGAAAGACATTAACTAGTTTGGGCTCTAACCCAGAAAATTTATTTTAGGATGCATTTCCTATTAGACTATAGAAAGTATTGCTCTAATTCTTTTTGAATCAGTTTGCCCATGTTGCAAGACGCTTAATTAATAATTTTTAAGGGAAATAAAAAACAAGGTGCATAAGGTTTCTTATGTTCAATTACAAATTACCATTAGTTAAAAGCAAAAAAACCTTTGTTCTACCTCATATCTACATTACAAAGAACAAATTAAGGAACACATAGTAAGAGGAACAAAATGATAGAAAGTGGTGAAGAGATGAAGTACTTCCAACTCTTTCCATACCTTGGTTTGAAAGTGAATTCTGTTATCTTCCTTCCACATCTCAGTTTGTAGAGTTTGTCCTGGATACACTGGTTTTGCAAAACGAGCCTTAAAAAAATAAAAAACGGTTGTAGAATTAAAAATGCTTAAAGAAATTCTACTCGTCTGTGGTGGAGTGCGTACATCAGAGTGCACAAAAGGAAGAAAACAGTTTAAATATATTTAGACTAGTGAAATACCAAAAATAATAAGAAACTAGTAAAGAAAGCAAATATAGTAGCAAAAAGGTGAACAAATTTGTGTTTCAAAATACAGAATTATTAAGCAATGGCTTTTCCTAACAATAACAAGAAACAAAACTTCACTGAGTAATTAGACAGGTAAGTACCACAACCATTTAAAGAAACAGCTAAAGACAGTACTTATGGAGGAATATGGAGGAATGAGGCCTGGGAAGGGTATATATGGGCAAAATAACTCTACTGTTTAGTTCATTTTTCATACTATTTTATAGAAAAATATTACACACAGAGCCAATCTATTTTATTGGATAATAAAATAGCTGTAATAAAATTAAAAGCATGAAAACAATCAGTACCACCAAGGGTGAGGCAGCAGAAAGTACATTTCAACGCTGCATAAAATGCATACTAATAAAAGGTTTTGAAACTGCCTAAATGTTTTAAGTGTAAGCCTTTGACTTACAGAAAAGTACTGTGGGCATGGATACTTTCCCTTGTTACATACAACAAATAAATCTTGAAATCAATGAATACATAAAAACTTACAATATATAGCTATCATAATACCATAGGTATATATTTTTTTCCATAGGTATATATTATTAGAGTTCAAATATATATATCCACCTAATATTTTCAGATAAATTAAGCTAAAACTAAAAACAAAAATAATAAATCTTAGGTTTTTAAGCACATGTTGACATGTATTACTAATTTATAAAACCAATTAATTTCTTAAAACTGTTTTATATGGTGCCTGGGTAATACAGATAAATACAACGACAAAAAGAAAACATGCTGCTTGCCAACTCAGTGAAATAATAAAAATACATATTCCTGCAATGTAGTAGCTACCTAGGGGTCGGGGAGACGGCTCAGTAGAATAAGTGCTTCCTTGGCAAGCACAAGGGCCTGAGTTCAATCCCCAGTTTCACAAAA